TTTATAGAATGTTAGCATATTATTAAATGCTAAAAATATGCATTTAAGACTTCAGGAAAATCTACACATACACACACTTGTCTGGTAAAATTGAAGATATGTTCATACTTCACTGAAAAATAACGTTAGCATTTACCATGTCTCTCAGTTAGTGTGTTCTAAAAGACTTAGTGGCACGGCAAACTTTTATTTCAGAAGTGATGAATGTAGAATGGAAAAAACAAATATTAGAATATTATTTTGATTATCATATTTATCCTGACCATAGTTCATGGAATTTCAAGTTGAGCCAAGGATAAATTTGAATCATTGAATTAGTTTCAGTGAAAAGAGATAATGTCATAAAAATGCTTGAAAGAAAGACAGTATTGATAGCACTGCTATGATCGATTTCTTTGTTTGCATGAAGTTTTGAATGTGGTTTTTTTTGTGAATGTTTTTTCCATTTGCAGAGGATTTGTATTCTACAGTCAGGAATTCAAACAGTATGCTATTCCATTTATGGGATCTGATGTTTCTGTCGTGAAACGGTCTCAGCGCTATTTGCACACACAGCTGCAGGAAACACCAGTAAGTCACTGCTACTAGTGTAGTATGTCTTTATTTTAATTTGCAGCAAATCCCTCCTATATGTAATAATAGTTCTTTATGTAGTTCTATGTTCCAGGGTTTCTGCAGTTATATAAATAATAATGAGCTTTTGCTTGTGTAAAGAAAGAGGCTTGTTCTCTTGATTATCTTTTGGAAGCTGCTTGACCTTATGTGGTCCAGGTTCTTCTGCATGCCCAGACCTGTTTCATACTGTGTGATATCCTGCCTGATGAGCTTGCTTTCTGCTGCTAGAAAGAATAGTTCTGAGAGTCTTTTGTAGGGTTTTTATGCTGTCTGATTTCTGGGTATGTGTTTGTAAGAAATTTTTGAGTTTGGCTTTGGGTTACAGAAGTGTTTGAAAAGTGGGCTTCATGCTTTTAGGAAACTGTAAAGGTGTTTAGTTTTGTACCTGTGCAGAGGCTTTTTTGTTACATCGACAAAGATTTTAAAGGCATCATAAATGTAGTCTATGTAACAATAGACAGGTTGGTATCATGTACTAAACTTTTGTCATAGATAAATTATATGCTGCTCATTTTTATTAGGAAACTTCTTTTATGCTTCAGTCTTTGGGGTACAGAGCGAAGGCAACATGAAGTGTGTTGGTGGTGAGAAGGATATATAGTTCTTGTTTTCCATGGTTCCCTGAGACGAGACCAGCACTAACAGTTCATATAACAGCTGTGCAGAATCGCTGGCATCAGTTAGGGTTGAAGGAGACAGTGCTCTAAAAATATACTTGGAACTATTAATGAGAAGGTTTTGTTGTTGCTATTCCGGAATTGTAATGCAAGGCCTTGGTTTCTCTTAAATTAAAACACAGCAAGAAGGAAAGGATTATCTTGGGAAAGAAGCCTGAAATCAAATACCAGAAAACAACTTTTAAGTTTTCCACTGTTGTTTACCATACTCTTTCCATCTCCATTCTGTAGTTACATTGCTTTCTCATAATGAATTATAAAGTCAAGTGTTATTCAAGGAGTTGTTTAGAACTCAGCTGTTTAAAGTCTACTGCGAATAGCTCTATGTTGTATTAAAAACTTGCATCCTGCATTTTTAAAAATGAATCTACGAGAAAACCTTGATGTAAATTCTACCACTGAAAATATGTTTTTGTCTTAGGTACAGTATGGTGCTTATGTGAATATAGGTGGTCTTAGCTCTGTTGTGAAGCTGATGATTGCGGGCATTTTATTTCTTCTTCTTGTGAAATTTAGCTTTGGAAGAAAACTTCTGACAAAAGTAAGTGTTCAAAACACAAAAGAATTAAGTGCTTGGAGGCTTTTTTACTTTACGTTAATGTGAGTTGTTTGTGTTGTTTTCCTTTTCCCTCTCATTATATAGTATCCGGAATTTTTCTCTGCTGGACGTTTCACAAAGAAAGGACCAACCCAGAAACAGGTAACTGACTGCTTTCCATTCTAGTTATTGAAGAAGTTTGTTGGGGTAATGGTAGAATAGTAAGCTGTGGTCTACCACTTAGTCTCCAAGAAATAAATAATTTTTAAATGCACACTGCGTATACCTGTGAATATTTAAGTAATGATGCCTTCTGTTATTAAGTCATTAAAAGTATGTGGAACTGATACAAGAAAAAGTGGATCATAGTTCTAGGTGTGATGTATTCACATGAATGGCTCACAACATAGATGTCAAGAGTGATGATAGATCAAGTAGCAAAAACTCAAGCCCAAACGCAATGAAAGAGTAATTGGACTTTAGGGCTGTAACTAACTGTTCCAGTAAAGTTAAATGATTATGTAACTGGGATTGTACCTTTTTAGCAATGACTCAGAATTACTGCTTTCATGTTTAGATGTATCACAGCATTTGGCGTAACACTTGCATTTACTACTTCTGTTTGTTTAAAGAAGTGAGTTACTGTTTTGGTGACCACGCTTCATGTCTTGTACACTACAGATGGATGAAACCTCCTTCACAATGACCTTTTTTGGCGAGGGTTACAGTGAGGGGCAGAATCCAGCGAACGGCAAACCAAATGTAAAGATTTGCACTCAAGTGAAAGGACCGGGTACGTATGTTAGCAGCTAACTGCATCACATTTCCTACCCTGATACACGGTTATGGTTCCACTACCATCTACTAAACCCGCAGCCTTTACAGACTATTATCTTACGTACCAGCATGCATTGTAACCTGCTTTTTGAACAGTTTTGGAGACAGCAAGAATGTACATTCAGAAGGGAGTTAATGAACTGTTGCTACTTTAAATAACAATATATGTAGCCAGATACTGACAGCATCACATCAAAAAGTCTTTTAAGCACAGATAAGCAAAGCTCTTGCTATAGTGAAGAGCTTGTTGTCACTTAGCGGTGATAACTCACAGTTGTTGTGTGGTTATAGGCTTATATTTGAGGCAGATCTCTGTTCACCTTAGTTCTTAAGGACTTTTATCTATTTAGGATGATAACTGCTTCAAAAAAAAAAAAGTGGAGATAGCTTTTTGTTTGATTATTCTTCAGTATGACGTAAAAAAGATTAAAATTAGAAATGGGAATTTTGTGTTTCAACACCCTGTATGTTTGGTTTTCATCAGAACCAGGCTATGTTGCAACTCCAATTGCAATGGTTCAAGCAGCCTTAGCTCTTCTGGAAGATACAGCTTACCTGCCTAAACAGTGAGTATTTTCCTATGCAGAACATATTGATTTCCATTACAGCTATTGTATGCATGTTTCTCTTTGAAAATACAGATTCTCTATAACCCTGTCGATTGCACTCTTACCTCACTCAAATGGCAGTGCTATTAAACATGATCCTGGTTATGCAAGGGAGATAGTTTATCATGGTAAAGTCACTTACTCTTCATCTGCCTTTCAACTTGAAAGGATGTAATTACAGGTTTTAGTTATGTTTTTGCAGTATCCACTGCACCAGTATCTATATTTTCAGCTATGGAAAATTTCCATTGAGTTTGCTACACGCAGAAATGAGCCTCTAAATGTAACCAGCTTGCTCACATGCTCCATCTGGCACAAAGTGGCTTTTTCTTTCCTAGCCAGGGAAACATATTTTTGACTTCAGATAAAGACAGTATTTGGTCACTGTACCACTAATGTTTTTCTCTTTCAATTCTTGTTAACAGAGGTGGTGTGTATTCTCCAGGAGCTGCTTTCTCTAAAACAAAGCTGATTGAGCGCCTCAACAGTCGTGGTGTTGAGTTCTCTGTCATTAGCCAGCCTGAAGTCTGACATCAAGACATAACTGTATGAACTAACATCTTACCTGTGTCTAATTCCAATAAAGTTCATTTGGCTGTAGAAGCCTGAGCATAAAAAAGTTTCATTGTGCTGTTGTTTACAGCAGAAAAAATAAGCTAAAAAGTATAATAACATATGCTATAGTGAAAAAAAAACACACAGGATACTGATTTTAATTCATGAATGTATTAAATCAGTAATTTATTGGGTACTAGTTCTAGAACATTGTTTAATCTCTTTCACCTTAAGTAGGAGAACAGCAGCCTAAATTTTAAGTTACTACATAATTCAATCTGCAATTAACCACAACCTTCTCACCGCAACTATTTGAAGCAGGCAGGCCCTGGATACCAAGTGCCTTAGCAGACAAAACCACTAGTTATTCCTCATGCCTGTTTGGGATAGGCATGGTTACCTTTTGGTGTTCTTATTTTTAAAGGCTTAGTACCCATAGTCAAATCCGAGTAGTCTTTTTTTTCTTAAGGTTTAAGGAGTAGTTTTGTCCTTTTGGTGGGTTATTATGAAGATCAGTTGACTGTACTTAAGTAGACACATAGTGTTGACTTTCAGTCTTACCAGCTTGCCTGTAGCGAGGCATACTAAAAAAGAGAAAACCCATGTTGTAATATAGAGCTAGCTGAAGACCAGTTGCCATTTCATCCTTTCAACTGAGAACAAGTCATTCTAGTATAATACGTGCAGTACACAAAGCAGTGTCAAAAACAATGCATTTACAAAGTGACTATGTAGCAGCCTTGTCAGTATAGTAACTGTAGGAAGTTAAACTACTTCTAAACTGTTGAAACAAATGCCGTATTTGTTTGTAAATATTAAGTTACCTTTCAGGTGTCTCTGTGGTTGAATGATAATATATCTAGCAAACAATTTTTTTTTCTAATACATCTGCATTTAGTAATATAACAGCTTTTTTTCCCACTGTTACAGCTTGCTGAGATCAGAGCATTGCTACAGATGAACATAGTATTTCTGAAAAACTTCATTTCTTGTCTTAGTGTGAAACAGATTTGTAATGAGTGATTTTTAGAGGCTGATATCATAAACAAAGCTGAGGGAATGGGTATAACATTAGCTTTAAACTATGGTGTATATAAAATGCTTGTGATAGAACTTACAGACAAACTGAAAACTCACTTTGCACTTCGATGCCTTCCTTGGAGGGAATCCTCAAGATTTGCTATGTGCTGTGTATTCCCGCTTCTTCTTAACTATAAGAGCAACATCACTTTTCAGCTTGTAAATGGTTGACTCAAGTTGTTTTCCAAAATCACTTATCATCTGTGATTGTCTCTCTGTAAAAAGACGCAGTACCTGCAAATTATCTTCCTGCTAAAACATAATAAAATAAATGAGTTGGGCTGAACAACCATGTCATTTTTTTTACTTAAACAGCAAAGAATACCTGAAGGTCTCACGGGTTTAACTACAGCAGTAACTGAATAAAAGGGGAGGCTAGAATAAACCACAGCCTCAAAAACTAAAATTAGTGTCATAATTTTATGTTCTTTTGCCAAGGAGAATAACATGCATCACAACAGGAAGGATGTGCTTGGGAAGGCAGCTCTGCTCTTCCTCCAGGCCAGATGAATTGCACCAACATCTGAGGGCGTAAGACTGGGCACAAACCACAGCTTACTTCACAGCTACCTTTAACTAAGTGGCAATGAATTTTTCATGTATGCACAAAAGAGATCTTGTGATTTTACAGCATCTTTTGTCCTTGAGATAACCACCAATCATCCTGCTACGGGATAACCAGAAATTAAGCAGCGGGTTTTAGAAATGTATAGCCTGTAAGCATCTCATACCTTTGTTGATAGACAGTTTAGTTCTTCAATTTCAGGAAACAAATACCAAGATCAGGAGAACTACACTTGCTTTATAATTAATGTCTCTTATTCTGAGAATTAAAACTTGGATCTGCATCCCCACAACGGTTATACTAAAAATGCATTATGGTTCTGTAGGCTAAGGATTAGGCCAGCGTAAGAGGAAACAGTAAACAGCTACCAACTTCCATCTGCACAGGAAACATAATCAACAGTTCTTTAATACAGTTGGGCCTGAAGTATTTGTTGGGCTACTCTTAACTCGGATGCTAGAACTGCTGCACTTACAATATTAAATACGGGGCCGTGTTAGAGTTTGTTTTGTTCCCTGCTCCCAACCATACAAAGAGCAGCCTTTTCTTCAGCTGAGATAGTGGAAAGGAATTACATTAGGTTATTGATGCTTTTCTCCCTGACCTAGGCAGTAACAGTTCACAACAGCCTTACAGCCTAGAAGGTCTTTATAAATGCTTCCTAAAGAAACAAATGTCCAAGCCTGCTTTTACATATGCAGATTTACAGTACTGAATACAGGCTGTTTCAAATGTCTGCTAGAGGCTGGGGACAGCACTCCAACTATGAGCTGCATTTTAGGCCAAATACATAAGAAGCCAAAACGAACTGATGTTTATATGTTTCTAACTTTTTCCCTGCAGAAAAACCGTAAACACTGAAAACAGGAAAATGATAAACCAGTTGAGGAGACTTGCTTACCCTGTATAACTTAAGGTTACACAGAGTCAGAAAAAATCAAAAGTGTTCAGTGTTGCTGGCAAGAAATTGGGCTATTGAGCAGTAACAGGAAGAGCTAGAGCCCTCATGAAAAGGTCGCACCATGAAAGCCTACATATGCCATCAAGTCTCCTTGCCAGCTTCAGTAAAAAATGGCTACGTTGCCAAGCAATCTAGAAGACTTCCTGAATACCAAGCCAACCACGTCTAAAAGCCCATTTGCATCACACTCCTGACAAATCTGACTTGTGTTCTAGAGGGTAGTTTTGTGCTGAAGAGTTACTGATTACTTAAAGTTGTCAGAGCCTGAAGTACAACTTCTTATGTAAATTAAAAAAAAAAAAAAGACAAAAAGAGACATCCTGAAGAAACCGTATAAAGAAGATGATGACAAGCTAACTCCCATGAAGCACGATGTAGACATCCAGCCAAATACCTAACAACAGGCCTGGTTAAAGTATGGCTTCCCTGATAAGCAGGCACTTCTGTAGCAACATGCCCACCTGAGTGAGGCTGCTGAACTCTAGTGTTCAAACTTGCATGTCTGACTGCACACAGTCTGCAGATCTTGGCAGTACCTCTGGTCCCATGTGAAACACTTGGAAAACTCCATGATAAGAAACCAACTGTAGCCCAGCCATACCCATCCTGTGATTCCATGAATCTCCAGTTCTGAAACCTCCAGTTTCAGATTCCTAAAGCTAGGACAAAATTCCTTAGAAAAGTGGCCTCTGATGCTTAAACTTGCAAAAACTTCGTAAAAAATTGTAAAAACTTTACCTACCGGTGGCCTGGACTGCTTCAGCTGGAGGAATTGCTGTCTGACCACATTCATGTTTTGATAGAAGATCTTAAGGGCCTTAGCAAATTCTGCATCGCAGCTGGTCCGATGGCTGCACATCTCTTCAGTTTCTCCCAAAGGCTGTTTCATCACCTTAATTGCCTTGGTAGGTGACTCAGCTTTCTTCTCTAAAATGCAAGAGACTTTTTTTTTTATTAATAAACTAAATAAAAATAAAAATATATCTATCTATCTTGAATTTATTGTCATTGGAAATGGCAGGCTAATTCCCTTTGTCAGAGGAGAAAAAGTCAGGGGGATATAAATTAACTTTCTGCAGAGCCTATGTCCTAGGGCAGTACTGGTAAGGGAGAACTGTAGCAAAAGCATGAGATACTGAGAAGTTTGTGATGAGCACTGACTTTCGTGGTGTCCTGTGTCCCATTTCTTTAGTTTGTCTTTAAGAAGGACATTTTCTTCTCTTAAAGCTCTGTTGACCTCTCTCAGCAGCTCTGTCTCTTGTTCCATCTGCAGCAGCTTCCGGTACAGTTCAGGCACCTCGTTACCTGCATCCTGTATTTGTTACAAAACTGCAGTTCAGATAATTATCACCGAATCCTTACTGATTCCCATCTATGAAAAACACCACTTCTAAGCAGATAAATGGATATTCCCAATGGGGAAATGGAACCGTTACATTCTTCATGTTATTGAATTTTGAAAACAAACTTTTCTATGGCTTCAGATGGATATTTTTTCTTTCCTTACAGTTTTATTAGTCCTTTAAACAAACATTCATTTATTATTTCCCCAGCTGCCAAGCCAATGTTCGCCGGCCTGTTGTCATGGTATTTCATCAGCAAAAGTGGTAAGAGCATTTCTGCAAGTATCAGGGGCAGTGCTTTAGCTTTACTATCTCTTTCCGTATGTGTGTATATGCGTGCATACACAGAGCTGTACATGTATTTATACACATACAGAAATATATACATATATATATATAAAACAATTGTACTGAAATGTGTGTAAGCACACATGCACCTGTAGAAATCACTTAACTGCTTTCATGTCTTTTACAATCTTTTACTCTCTAATGTAATTAAATAAGCTGCCAAGGTCAAGAAACATTTACAATGGAAGCACCTCACTGTGGTGCTCCAGCAAATGTGTACAGAGCTGCTCAGCACTTGCATCCTGCAGCTGTGTTACGCCCCAGCCAGGCTGTCATCCATTACAGTGCTTCAGAGCAGTACACAAGGAGTGCTTTGGGCTCAGATGCAGCACTGTGCTTAATTAGACGTTTCCCTGCAGCCTTCGCTCATTACATATTCCCATGAAAATCAAGTGGGTTTGTCGGAATGTAGTTATCGGTAATCCATGTACACTTACCAGACCAGCATTGCTTGCAGTCAAAGCTTTGGGATTGTCAACCACAACAGTGCCCTCACTTGTGAGCAAAAGACCATCCAGGGAGTAGTCCATCTCCACGCAACCTTCTGCAGCAAAGGAAAGGCAAAGCATGGTCAGGACTCAGCCATCACTTGCTCTTTGCTACTGGTGCCCTTATTGTACACTGTGTACATTACTTAAGGTGAAAACAAACACAGCCTATTTTTAAACTCTGAATTCAAGGCAGAAATAGCCTTTTCCTTAACACTTCAACCAAGCTGAGAGCCAGCATGCTCATTTTAAAATTATACCATGAAACCACTAACTGTTTTTCACATTCTGAATGTTTTTGTTTCCGTAAGGATGGACAATACAGTTTGATTCTATCTACCAACCATCACTGAAGAAGAACATAAAATGTGTAATATAAGATTTCGAAAGTGAAAATTTCAGGAAGAAATACCTTGAAGTCCCCACAAATCAACAATTAAAGCATTTTTCTGTAAATAATTCAAAAATTCATAGGATGCATTTAGAGCTGAGAAATGGACTGTTTCTTCTATCTTCGGATTCACATTTTTCCAGACAGGTTTTGTGTATAAAGACCGTGGAAGATCATAAACTCTATACCTAAAGACAAAAAACGCAAGCGTAAAAAAATAATTAAAAGCCAATTCAGTCTCTGAAAATGTCTCTATTTAAACACACACAAAAGTTGAGCAGAAACAAATACTGCAGCATTTCAAGGTCAGCTGTTCTTTCCTGCTCAATAAAGTGCTTTATGCAGTCATTCAGCACCCACAGGACATGTGAAAATATTACTGTACTTTATTAATTTTTAGTACTTATTCTGTTGACAGCAGCAGTGTGGGAAGCTGTCAAATACGCACAAAAAGCTTTAAAATATTCATAACTCCATTTTTTATTCTGAGACTTCCAGCTTTCTGCCTATTCTGTAATCCATGGGGCATTTCTCCAGCTCCACCCGTATCTTTGAGGATAACAAATGAAGTCATGTAAATCCTTGCTCAACACGGACCTTTTAAAAATGGGAGGGATATTTTTAGGCCAACACTGCATATCTCTCTGCAGTTTCAGAGATTCAAGGTTAAATTTTTGCTGCAGCTTAAAGGCCCCAGCAAAAGAGATAATGGTTTATGCAGGCTCATGACTTCCACAGGAGCAAGGCTAAACCTGCTCTAAGTTTCACCAGGAGCACAAAACGGGCTTGTTCTGAGGAAGCAGGGAGTTGGTGCAACACAATACCCTATCTGAATGCCTCTTCCTGCAGCATCCCGCAACCATTTGACTCCAAGGCACTCTGCAACATGAATCTGGAAATCAACCCTTCGCCCCAGCAGCTCCAGCGGATCAATGACCATATCGTCCTCCTCAAAGAGTCTGCAAACAGAAAGAACAGCGATGCAAATTTGACCCTGGTCCTCAATCCACATCAACACAGGGTGATAACAGAAATGAGGAGGACGCTGGGATCAGAGAGGAGAGCTGCTGTTTGTGTGACTTAAACATTTTGATAATTAATAATTACTGGCAAATGAAATGACAGTTTTATGTGACAGCTAGTGTGCTGGTTTTAGTTTTTTCTTCCTCTGCACATCCCCAAGTGAGGGCAGAGGCTATGTGACCTTCATTATCATATGTTAGTATACAGAAAACAGCTATGCTTGAAAGAGAAAACAAAGGAGTCCAGAAAGACAATACGGATGCAGGAACCATTCAAAACAGAGAAGGACTAACCTGAATCCATTTTGCAGTACAATTATTTTCTCCATCAGATGAAGAAGCTTCTATCTATGTTGATGGCAACATTACTCAGCTAAAAGAAACTTACTGTGATACTTCCAGCCTACAAAGATCTGCAGGTATAAAGAAAGGGCCTGAGGAACAGGCGCAGGAACTGCTGATATATCGACCCCGTTGCAGAAACTGCAGGAAGAAGACTGCTCAGCTCTGACTGTCCCTCTGTGAGCTGCCAGCTCCAGCTGGGGACAGGGACAGAGCTGTCAGTCAGCAGGGCTGAGAGTGTGAAAAACAGTTCTGGGGCCCTCCCTCCAGAGGAGGCAGAAGTGGGGACGGACTGCCCCTTGGTGTTGTCTAATAATCTGGAGCTGATGCCCACTCCCAGTTTCAGCAGTTAGATCTCTGAATATCTCCCTCTTCCATATTTTGCTCAGCACGGCCAGCCTTCACTCCCAGTCACACATTTCAACAGGTGAAGCTCCCCAGTTCCTTTGACAAGGAACGACTGACAGCTCTCCAGTACAGAGGCAGTTGATATTTACCTCCCATCGCTGGAGCATGGAGACAGGTCGATCAGCAGGACAGCTTCCTCCAGCCCTTCGGAGTTCAGCAGCTCGGTCTGCTCCTCCAGCTTCATGCGGTACGCCAGTGCCTGCAGCCAAACGTGAGCAGATCCCACATGGACAACCTCCACCGGGTCCCAGAATGGATCGCTGTCCTGGTTCACATCCGTGTTCTCCCCTTCCAGAAAATGCTGGTAAAGTTCCTCCATTAGGAACTTCCTATTAATGAACTTGGCCTTTGACCATACCCACACCTATGGAGGAGGCAAAGGAGAAGTGATGAAGTTGGGCAATCACGGACAAGGAGAACAGTAAAGCACCTCTCCACCTTGAGGAATGATCGAATAAACTTGGAGTCACCTCTGAAATTACTGAAAAAACTACCCTGTGCTGCACAACCTGCCGGAGAGATATACTTTAATTTTAACTTCCTTTTCGATAAAGACTGTTGACTTATTTCTTAAGGGGCTATGGAGGATTACTGGTCATCATCCTCTTTACAACAATCCTTTATGTGCAGGCTGATGTGGTCACCTCTTCTCTAAAACAAATGAAATTCAGTTCTTTCAGCCTTTCATATCAACTGAAATAATTTGCAGCTCGTAGAATTTCATATTTAAAATATACAATAAACTGTTCTGACTAAGCTATCTCAAAGTTTATACAAACACAATAGAAAGAGAAGATTTGTGTTACTGACTGGTGTTTGGAGCATTCACCTGTAACAAAGAAGCATGGTGCTTAAGACTGCTCCTAAGAAAGATCAGGCAGAATGGGGATTCAAGGGATTTATTAGAACACAACTACCTTTCACTTTCATTCCTTCATTTCATCCCAGCCCAATATTGCTTATTAATTTGCTTCTTCTGCATTACAATAGTCTTCCTTTGATCTTAGTTTCCACTGTTTTCAGCTTTAATATAATTTGTTATTACAACCAGCAGCTGAGAAAATACCACTAAATCTAAAGAAATTACTCTGGTTGGTTCCTGAGGTTCCTTCACCTGGTTCCATCACTGTTTTTAAAGAGCACATAAGGGGCTCATATCTATGGCCTAAGCTTTGCACATGCCAGATTTATACAAGAACAAATGGAAACGCTTTCACAAAAAAATATAATGGCATCTTAGGTTGCAGCTGCAATGGTTTCAAAGACTAATGGACATCAGTGATGGCAAAATGAGGATAAATTACATCATAAAGTGCTCCTGTAAACCAACAATTTACAAATTAGAGTGTGTCTAAACGGCACTATTAAATATATGAAGTGAAAATGTAAAATCATTTTTCTTTGTCCAACAGTAGCACTCTCAAATATTTCAAATACAATGGTAACAAGCAGTTGTAGAAAAATCTCTGGTTTCAGAAGGGAGAGCTAAAGATCTCTCCTCCATTATTTAAAAGGCGAAGCTTTGTTGCTAAGCAGCCAGAGATCAGCTGCAAGGGAGCAGCAGCACCTAAGGAGGTGTCAGTGACGGAGCCACCACATGCGACTGAAGCTGACTTGTTGCAGAGAGGTTCTCTGGCAGCCTCCCCCTGCACTTGTTGACATCAAATACGCCTGCTTTACTTCACCAGGTGCATCCCTGCTGTGATGTTCAGTGACAGAATGTGTCTGAAGGTAGCTAACTGCACCCAAATGCTAAGGCAGACACAGTCCTCAAGGGGCAGGAAGAATACACCTCAAGGATCTCCTGTCCGTGCCAGAAGCTACCCAGGAGCATGGCCATCCTGTGAACAAGCAGCACATGGGTTCCTTTTTAGAGGTGAACAGATCCGTGGGCTAGGAGGAGTGCATTTCATGTATGGAGACACACAAACATGGCATCAAAGAGTGGAAGAGTAAAAGAAGGGCGCGGGTCTGTTAAGACACAGCAGAGACAACCATTGCAAGGATTCAACATGTCTGGCTTGAGAATGAGCACACAGCCTGCATCTTATCTTCTCCTAAAGCCTGCTATTAACGCATGAGCCCTTCTTACCTGATTTGTCGTTGCATGTGTCACTTTTACTGTTATTTCCTTTTGTAGGTCATGGCCTCTGGAGTCCGATAAGGCTAGGTTCTTCACCTTCAGTTCAAATTTGAGCTCCTATTAATTAATAAAGTTTCTTAAACACATTCCAATCCAAGACCCCTTTTGCTACATAATTTGGAAATATTTTCATATAAGAGGAAAAATTATATAGATATGTGTATATATATATATATATATATATATATACACACCATATCTATATAATATATATATTATATAGATATGCGTATATGTATATATATATATATATATTAATCTTATATATATAATCTTTATATATATATATATATATATATCTATCTATCTATCTATATATATATATGAACCTGCTTATAGAAGAAATTCTCATAGCAATCTTCCTGCAGTGTCTAGGACTTGACATTCCCAATATTTCAAATTTTGGAAAGAATGAGGCTTCCTTTACATACCTCACTGTCACCATACTCTCCCACCAGGGTGCACAGAGAAAGGAGAATCCTTATCCTAACAAGTTTATTTCCATTTTTCCTTCAGGAAACTTCTCCAGAAGTTAGTTAGTTAGTTAAAATGCTGGGAAATTGCATCTTGATCCAAAGGGAAATCTACCTCATTATTCCTAAGTTATGGAACTTGGCTGAGGAGGAGTTCTCCCTTCTTTGACTTTTCATCCCCTTGAAAACACCATGGCAGCCACTGTTTGTGTATTTATACAGTGCAACTACCCTGATACTACGTTTGCGGCCTGCATTCCCAAATTCACGTTCCCCCCATCTCCTCTTCTCTCTGCCTACCAGATGGTGAGGGAGACTGGGGAAAGCAAAAGGAGTGGGGTGCTAGGAAGAGTGAGAGCACTGGCAAATGCTCTTACAGTTATTTCTATTCACACTCAAAAATGTACCAAACGAGTCCAACCCGCAGAAGTTGGGGAAACCTTACTCACCTTCTTCAGCTCCTGGCTCATCTGATTCGCCTCCGCCACCAGCGGCATCAACTTGATGTAATCGTGGAACGCCGCCAGGACGCTGGGGTCTGCTCTGCCCTCCCCGCTGCCCGCAGCACCTTCCCAAAGCGGTGTGCCAGGGGGCAAAGAGAAGGGGTAAACAGGCTGCCACCTGACCTGTGGGTAGCTTTAGGGGGGTGCTCATCGACTGCCAAAATACGATTTAATGCTTCTGGCCCTTGCCGCTCTCCTGCTCTGAGCTGGGTGGGTGGCACGCAACCTGCTCTCATCCCATGGGAGAGGGCAGCACAGGAAGAACAGCAGCAGAAACACATGCTTTGCTCACAGCAGCCTACTTCGCCTTTCTTTCAAAATTGGACTGACAAATTGATCGGATTAGAAAGTGGATGTCAAGCAGGGAGCTTCTGTCCTGTCTGATGTGTGAAGGATTTCCCCCAAACTGTTACAGGACTCGATGTCAGAGTCCACTGTGGTACTCCTTAGAACAGAGTTTCACTGTTCAGTCATTAACTCCCTGCTGTCTGCAGGTGGGGACTGCTTTTTCTTAGGAATTCAGGTTGTGCAGGGCTATCCAGGATGAAAAAACATGGACATAACATCTGGATTTGAAGCAGACGCAATTAGGTATATTTGGAGAACGGGCTCAGCCCATTCTGAACACCTACAGATTTTGGTGATGCAACTGAACATCAGCTGAATAATTTTATTTATTTATTTATTTATTTATTTATTTATTAAGACAGAGAATGTGTGCTTGGGTACCAGAACAGCTCTTTACACACAAGTGCTGAGGTGCATATTCGCTGCATCCCTCCCCACAGGAGGGAGGCAATGCTACCGAGGTTCAGGCCTGTAGGCCCAGTCCTCTGGGTGCCCTCAGCACTCCCTGAGACGCTCACCGCAGGTGATTAGCTGGACCTCAGACAAATGCCTGAAGGCAGTGGTGTGATTACTTTCACCGCTCTGCCATTCTGTAAATTAGCGAACATTTCTAGAGGGATGGAGTGATTCAAAAGATGAAACTGTCAGGGCCATTTAGGAACTCAAAATGGCCTTGCAGATTAGCACAAAATTCAAAAACAATGCACAAACCCCCAAGTTCTTTAAGAATAATAAATATCTGAAAGCAAAAGATCTACGTGACATATTCCCAGGACCCAGGATTGTCTATGTTGTATTTACCAACTAAACATTTTGCTCACTGGACTGATCACATTAAAAAATGTCAGGAAAGTGAACTTCAAAAAAAAAAGTAATTTTAAGAAAAGTACTGGAGGGTAGCATTTCCCCAATGTACAAAGAGAAAAATATAAGTAGATGAAAAAAATTAAAAAGGGGCAAATTTTAGGGGAGCAAGGGGAGTGGTTTGGATGACAGCAAAAGAATATTTAACATTATATTTTGTACTATTACCTAATGCGATCACACATACAACAAAAAAATCCAGCATAGAGAGTTAATGGAGCAATGTTAAAAACAAAGGGAAAGACTATTTCAGTGTACATCTGGTGATCCTGTCTGGAAGAGCCTTCTCTGGGAGAAGCTACTCAGACAATAAAATGTGCTGTGGAAGGCAGCACTGACTGCGTGTGCTGTGCAGCGTGCAGTCCTGAGCGACCTTCTCATCTGGAGTGCTCCTGCATTATTAAAAGTAATCTGATCTCATGTAATCTCATCAGTACTGCCCACTTTTTTTTTTTTTTTTTTTTTTTTTTTAAATATAAGAAGCAGTTCTAGCACCAAAGAAATAAAAATAAAAATAAAAATAAAAATAAAAATAAAAATAAAAAGGAAACTATGGTAAGAATTGGATCTGTGTGTAATAAAACCCAAAATAATTATCCAGACCTTCAGCTGTCAGGCTGCTCAATCTAAGATGCAGAGCAAACACACATTTTACTGTTTATCAACATGGCAGTATAAGTAAGCTCACATATGTAACAGCTAACAGACACACCCTTGGTTTCTTGAAATAGCACATTAACTCATATAGTAATTTAAAAAAATTAAAAAGCATTTCTCTTTCTATAGCATTAGATAGATATGAAGCAATTTTTCTGACTCATGGCTGCTTCCTCATAAGGAACTGCACAGCCTCCAACCCCCAGCAAGAACAACATGCGAACTGCAAAAGAATAAGGCAGATTTGGAAGGTGTGTGCATATGATCCAGGGTGTGACAAAACATCAGTCCCCACAGAAAAGCATCACCCAGTGCCCAAGCAGTGGTGCTTACCAAGTTTATCCACACTGAAACCTTCTGCTGCTGCCAACTCAGACTGAAAGAAGTCATAGTCGTATCTGCTAAGGTCCTCCTCTGTTCGTTCTGCAGGTGGCCCGACATACAGGTAAGCACTGTTTGATCCCAAAATAACACGATCCTGAAAGGTTAGACACAGGATGCTGCTGAAGTCATGGGTACAGCATGGCAAGGGTCACCAAAGGGTGAAGTGTTTGCAAACACTACACAAGCTGGCAAGACTTTAAAGAGAAGTGCTTGAGAGGAGAGGACCTGTGTGCTCCCATGGACGAAGAGGGGGTTGACAAAGGGTGACCCAAACCCACAATGGTAGTTGCAGCTGAGAGACCTGAAAATCACCGCTGCCATTGGCACAGCAGCCAGCATGAGGAGAAGCTGATCACCAGATCAGTTTTGCCTCATCTATCAGGAAGAGAAACCTGCTCAATACCAGAATATAAAAGCAGACACACTGGCTCAGAAAAAAGACCCATCCATCCCAGTATCCCATCTGCGGTGCTGTCCCTCAGGGACAGATTTCCAAGGAGGAGTACACATTCCAGGCAAACTGCAGAGCTGCTGCTTTTCTGGGAAGTGATCCCTCTACACTGCGTCCCTCAGTGGATTTCTCCTTCGTGAAAGAAAAATCTACATCCTCTCTGAAGCAAAGTAATGCAGTTATCATTTCCCCAGTGTCTTCTGGCAAGAAGGACTGATTAACTACACCTTTGTTTGGGACAAACATGGACCTTGCTAAGATTCATTTGGTGTCCTTTAATTCTGGCCCGTTGTATTCCCAATACAGACTCACATGCATTATTTTGGACTAACTGGATAAAAATGGAACCAATTGCTTAACATTTCAGTAAGAAAGGCACACAGGTTATCCACATCTGTACTAAAAATCATTCTGAGGCTGAACAGAGATTTTGAGCCCAGCTGTGGGGTCAAAATCTGGGGTAGGAGCTTGCTCCTGTAGATAGATGGATTTTTTTATTATTATTAATTACATGACAATACATTACATTACAAAAAAAATACATTATATCAAATTTGTGTTCCCTTAGACACAAGATTCTGCCTGAGGACACAGTGAGCAAACTGAAGATTTAGAATGTTTTTTTCTTTCAGGGTTTTGTTTTATGCTCCAAGAAAATACTCACCAAGTGCTGCAGCTTTGTTTTCCCTGTGATGGGCACACCATTCACAACGACCTTGCACATATCTCGTGGTGCTAGGGTAACTTTGCCATCAGCATTCGTAAACGTAGCATGTTTGTCCGAAATGCTGAAAGATGTTTAATTTTCTTGTGATTCACTTTTTGTTTTTAATTTGAGAACCATCATAGAACATTAAATCATAATTTCAAAGACAAGTTTAAGCTGCCATTCATTAAGTTTAGGCTGCCATTCAAGAGGCAGTTGCCACAGTCTGACTTCAAGTTTTTGCCACTACCAGAATGGCAGTTTCTAGAAACATAAAAGCTTATCAGTTATACTTTTTAACTTTTCCCTTAGCAGATACCATAAAATGTTCAAAATAATCATAACCCATGTTTATGCAGTTTATGCAATTCCTTTAATTGAAAACTTAATTAGTTTTAATTTTAATTAAATTAAACAACTCCAAACAACATGAAGATCAAAAAAGCAGACATCTTGTTTCCTACAAATTGATGTACTTACCCCAGACCTCTTAGGATTATAGCATTTGAGGTTGATTGACCAACATCACAAGTACCTTTAAAAATAAATAAATAAATAAAAAGGCATTTTCCAGTATAAATTATATGTGCTTTGCACACCAACAGGTATACAGTGCTGAAGTTTTTGCATTACTTTTTACTTTTTCTCCTTTGAATCACTATGTTGATCTCTGCTTAGCACTAGCCTTTCACATTAGTGCTGCTACTTGAAAATGACAATATAGTCAGTTACTTTCTCTTTAGAAAGACAAGACTCTGGATCCTGAGAAACAAACAGGATTTATTCCGTGTGGCCTCTGGGATTGCACACATAAATAATTCGAACTGTGTGTGGGAGACCCCAGAAAGTCCTGGGATCCATTACCAGCAAGTAGATGGCAGAGAAAATCATCCAGAGTAAATAACCTGTGTGCAACAGGGTACCAGATCTACAACTCTATCCCCATTTCTGTTAACTGCAGCACTCAGTCAGTCAGTGGTGGAAAACCAGCAAAGCACAACCTGCAGAGGAGGGGTGAGATGTTCAGGCAGTAAGGAGGAATGTGGATAGTGTGAGATCATCAGCTTGCAAGAGTTCACATTTTCAAGCCAACAATTTTCAGGGAAGAAATGGCTGACAGAAGACCATTTCTTATGACTTCTTTTTCTATTGCATGTGACTTATTATTCCATTGTATCTTAGCATTTTTTGCAATAGAAACAACTCTCACAGTATAATTCTTCAGCCCACTCTGATCCCAAACAAGAGAAGCACGTTTAAAAGTGGTAAAAGTAGGTAAGTGCTTAAGGAAAAAAAAATAAGGTAATCATGACTCACATGGCTGAGCAACCTAGTGCAACAGCAATTCTGATATGTCAGTGTTAAATTACAGAAAGCACTATTTATATGTTGTCTTCAGGACTTTAAAATATATTTACCATCCTGAATGAAATGCTTGAGAACCCATGAGAGCTGTGGATCTTCATTGATATTCAGGAGATAAGGGAACGTTTCCATCATCCGCCTCTCCTGAGCAAGAATTGAGAAATATGTCATTTCAGTGGGATTCCTGAAATAACAGCTAATATTATACAAAGAGGTGTTTGTTGTTTGTTTCTTTGTTTGTTTTGTGTGTGTGTGTGTACAAGATAGATCATGACCATAGAGCAGTTTGCATAAGAATATCCTAAAAAAAAAATCAATATGCCAAATGCTCAACAGGAGATTGCATTCTGAAACACATTCACAGTCTCCAGTTCCTAAAAATGCGTTCTGGTTTATCAGAAATGCATGGGAACTCTGCAGATGATTTAAAAAAAAAAGTGATGAAAAAAGGTTTGGTTTAATGTTTCAGTTACAATTTCAAATCACGCATCTCAGGATGATGTTAACCTCCACATCACCTTCAGTGAGATTAATACGAGGAACTGCATTCAATTTTGTGCATGAAGCTCATAACTCATGTCTTAGCAAAACTCAGTTCTATTCCGTGCAACAAAATACTAAGAAAGAACTATTCGTTTGGAATTATCCCCAGAGCTGCTTTCTGCAAAAATGAACAGCTTATGCTATTATAGGTATTATTTGTTACAGCAAAATAACAGCAACCTTGTCAGCACTGGGGTCCCAAAGACTGAGGCATGGTCTGAGCAGAGACTTTACTCCACGCAGCTAGAAGCAGTCTGACAAAGCAGACTGGGAACCAACAGCAGGGAACGGAGTAGGATTGACTGGAGAAATGGGAAACAATTCCCCAGATGCCTTTACTTACGTGTGCTATCTACACACACAGATGAATGCTGTTGAATATAGCACTGATAGCATACAAGTATGATAGCTGCAATCTGGGCTTCCCCCTTGCTGTTATCGGGTGGCAGCTACCTGCAAGGAGTGCAGGAATGGCTCGTGAAGAGCAGCAGGGAGGAGAGCTGCGTACAGCCTTTCTGCAAAAGGTGCTGAACAAGTTGTTAATCACAGCATCGCCAGGTCCTCCTCTCCCGCAGCAGCCCCTCCCTGACTCCCTGGCTCTTACATGCCACAGCCTCCTACTGAAAGGCTTCTGTCTGGCTACAGAATTCATGTCAGCGTGGGTTGCTTTCAGAAACATGCCCAAAACTAAAAGGAAAAAAAAAAAAAAAAAAAAGTTTTATTTCAGTAATAATTTCTTATAGCCACAAAATAAATCCAAGAAACTATAATATACATTGACGGTAGAAGCAGACAGAATATTCTGTTATCTAAACTCAAGCAAGAATCAGTATGACATTGTGAACCCTTAACAGAGGACTGCATTATCACCACTTTACCCAAGATTAAAAGCCCTGTGAGTGTTGTGTCGAGGAACTGCTGTCAGAGATGCGTGCAAGCAACAAAACTTAAAGATTGCAAGAAAGGGAAAACATCAGACTCAAAGAGCAGAGGTTGAGGCATCTGGGTTCAGCCACGATGCCCACTGCTGGGAGACTGGCCTGGGTGACGGCAGCGTACTGCTGCTCCCACTCCTGCCGGGCTTCCTCCAGGCGAGCCTCCCACGCCTCCTGCGTGCTCCGCACCCACCTCTCGCTCTCCTCCAGCAGTCGCAGCTCTGCTGAAGAGAGACAGCTTTAACCAGGGCATACACCTGTGAAACAGCAAGCCCCAGAGAGATGAGGACCGGCAGCACGGTGGCAGCACACTGGGAAGTGGCCTGGCCTCTTGCAGAGCAAGCTCTTACTCCCCGAACCTTGTAAGGTGGCATGGGGTTTGCTATCCCCATCCTGAACTGGAAATTAAGCTGTAGTTTTCCTTCTCCTCTTCTAACCAACAGGGGATCACTAAAATATTCTGTGCCCAGTACGTGCACGAGAGTTGACTCGGCTGAATCCTCTTCAAAGGAATATGCAAATACTAGCCAATTGCACGTTTCTACCTCTTCCTTCAGCTCTGATGTTTGTCCACGCTCATCTTGTTATAATATTCCTTAAAGTGTAAATATTTTTTCACTCCTGCCTGCTGTGTCCTTACTTAGACTTGCTTTGATCTTTTACCTTGAGCAAACCATCGACACTTGATAAGGGGTCTGACTGAGCGACCAGATGTGCCCAGACCAATGCTGCAAATGCATAAATGAAACAAAAACTGTTTCTCAAAGTGCCTTTTTTTTTTTTTTTCTTTTTAAGTTTTTAAAAGCAGCATCTGTTTTGATAATATCTGGGAAAAAAAAAAAAAAAGAAAGAAAGAAAAAAAATCCCAATTCACTACTATCAAATACTACACACATATCAACAGACAGAAACACAGCAATGCTTAAGTGTCTAAATAAAGCAGAGGGTGAGCTGGCAATGAGGGAAGAACATCCACCTTGTGGGGCTGCCCATCTGGGACAACGTTCCCAGTAGTCTCAGTTCTTGCATTCCTCATCTCAGAGGCAGATGGAGTCCTAACCCAGACAGGGGCGGGTGGCACCGCCACGCACGTGCTCCCGTCAGGGCTGGGCAGGGTTACTGCAGGTCTCCAACACTCCTCTGTCCTCTCTTCCTCCCACAAGAGCTTGTGATTTTGAAATACTTGGGACTGGCGCACCAGGGTCAATATTTTATACAATGCCTTGATTACCCCTGCCACCCACTTTGTAAGAAATTCACCTGTGGACATAGCTCAGCTGCATTTCCATCGTACTGCTCCAATGTCACAGACTACCAAAAAGGCCTCCTGATAATGTTTTGGAAACTCCAAATCTACTTGTTATTCATTTATGCTGAAATACATACGTGTTTCATCAGCTATTGATTTCCCTGTGCTCCCGGGCCCAGCCAGTCTGGACAACAGCTTGTTATTTTCAGCTTTCAGTTCTCGTATAAGCTTCTCAGCAGGACTTGCATTTACCACTGCTTTGTTCCTGATCTTTTTTGTCCTTTTCAATATGAAAACACATAAAAGGAAAAAAAAAAAAAAAAAAAAAAAAAAAGCTGTAACACCATCTCAGCAATGGACAAGATTTTCTGTCAGACATGACTACTTTTTTTTCCTCGTTTGTTCTTTTCCCTGTTCAGAAATATCCCATGCAGCTCTGAAACTTCAGAAGTTAAAAAAAAAAAAATCCTGCAGAAACTTTGCCCCAGGGCTGAAAGCATTTGATGTCCTCTCTTGTACTGCTACAGCAATCACAGCCCAGTTTGATTTTGCCCATCTTTTGCATCTTACCCTAACCTGCACCCACTGCCACAGCTGCAGTGCCTCCAGTGTGTGGGGCAATGAGGGACAGGATACCCCAAAGAGGGACTTCTTTCCCCATAAACACGGGCACCACAGGTCTGCTGGCAAATACACAGGTGGACTCCAGCTGCTCCCACAAGGAGCTGGCTCAGATGCATGGCACTCATCAGCACATGAAAGCAATTCAGCTCCTTGCAGAACTGAACTGGTGCTGAGAACATTAAATCTCCTGCTCCTGACACCTGCCGGCAGCCAGGATGCTGCAGATGCAATGTCCCTGAGCCACGGTCTGCTTCGGGATAAGGGACGTGTAACTGCCTGACCTTTTCTTGTGGGAGCTGGAGTAAGAAGGAATTGATACGGGGATTAACAGTGAAAGGACTTCCCCAGTGAAAGGACTACAAAGCGAGAGATTATCTCTCCTGAGCCTGAGAAAGGGAAGGAGGAGAGCAGGAGCCTTCTCCTTCAGAAAAGAGACCCAGGGAAAAATAGTTCCCTTGCCAAACAATTCAGTTTTTTAAAAATATAAGCCATTCACGAATAAGAATAAACTCTTACTACGCCGCTCTTGCTTATTCACAGATTAACTTTACCTTCATCCTGAGCTGCTGATCACTTAGAATTGGTATTTTTTCTCATGTTGCCCAGCATCTGCCTGTAATTTGCACCTAGACCAGAAAGGAAAAAATTATAGAAGTATACCTTTCAGCATACCGTAACGTTGACAAAGTTTCTTCATAACAGATGTCTGCTGGACTGACAGCTGCAATCTGTAAACACACAAAAAATATTTACTGATAATAGATTTTGAATAAGATTTTTAAAGTAGTCTTAAACACTTCTGGCTGTGAATGTACACTTTTTAACACTATTATAAGAAATGAGAAAGAAAGATGAGCAGATACAGGTAGTATTAGTAATACTAATGCTTACCCTAGCATCGGTAAAAAATAAAAATAAAAATAAAAAATTGATAGTTCTTCAACAAGTAACAGTTGTAAAATATGTCCTGAACTTTGTTCACATCATCATCAATGAGTTAAGAAAGCTAGTATTTGAAGAAACTCAGGTAAACTGTTTTAAGACTATAAGCATTTAACACAATTGCACATTTGCTATTCATATTTTCCCATCTTTAATTTAATGGTACTTTTTAAAAAAAGTCATCAAAGATGCTGGAACACACAATTCACCTAATACAAAGAAAAGAGCCTATGGAAGATTTTCCTACTTAGGAAGGCAATATCTGATCCACAGCACAATGATCTCAGAAATCAGGAAAAAAATCATTATACAGCCTAGTTTTACATAAAGAACACGACTTTTATATTACACAGGTGGCTATGAGTTTCACAGCTACATATATCTATATACTTTTTATATTAAAAAAAATGTTTTCTGTATGTGTCTGCATTAGGTTTTACACATTTTGTGCCATCCACATTTGCATTTGATAACCAGAAGTGCTGCCCATTTGAATAATACCTATGTTCTGGTAGTAGTGGCAGAAGTGCTTTCACCTTTATGGTAGATAGGAAGCGATCTCAACACAAAATTACGCCCATTTTCACCAATGTTGGAGCCACACAATTCTATTTCAATGGGTAAACCGAGGAGTTTTAAATTCAAGAATCAATTTACCATGATTGTCTTGCTGTTCCCTCCCAGAGCAGATTGCAGGAGTTTAGTCAGCACGGAGTCCCTGTACGGGATATGCAGCACTTTCTTCCCCGTAGCTGCCTCAGCCAGAGCACTGCGGGGAAACAAAGTGAAGTGAAAAGGGGTGAACAACATAAGTACAAATACGAAAAAGCAAGCTTAGGAAAAAAAAATTTAAAAAAAGAGAGACAGATTAGATAACTTCAATATATTCATTATGGGAACACAAAAAGTCCTCCTTCATGCACCACCTAAATAATTTGCTGTCAAGATTTTCAGACTGAAAGGAAAGTTTTGAATGGCTCAGTTCAAGTTCTTCAGAAAGGCCTGGATGTCTGATGCACCGAGCAACAGCCCTGTGAAGCTGCCTCACCTCAGCCCTGCTGCACAGCCTGCCACTGCTTCGAAAGATGAGCAGGCAGTCCAAGCACTCACAACATATGGAGCCAGGAAAAATTAATATTTTTTGTTTTCATGTGCTTATGTACATCTCGTAAACACAGTGAGAATTCAATTAATGAGTACTTTTACTAAACCACACTGCAAGGAAGACGTGAATTAAGAGGTTGTTTTTCAAATGTAGAAATTTGTTTTCTACTTCACAAATATTAAAGAAAATAAAGTAATAATAATTACCTGATGACATTTCCTAGCGTGGTTAGGCTTAGGTTTACACGTGTTCCTTCTTTCAATCTATCTTTTTCAGATCCTGATGATTTTTGCCTTTCACTTCCTGCCAAGTCCACCAGATTTATAACTGATTGCTTGGTGATTGCTTCATCTAGAAAAATCTGTGAAGGTATGGTGTCAATATAAGGAAATGTTACCAAATAAATGGTTCGGGTAGTATTAAGATACAGAAAATGGAACCCTGTGCAGAAATTCAGAGTAAATATTTTGTGATACTTACCAATAGTGGATCATTTTATATATTAAGAATTACTTGACATGTGAGAGCTGTAAAGGTGTGCCTGAAACAAAAAGACCTGCTGTCTCCCACAATTAAGCAGCAGGCAATATGACTCATCCCTTGCACCCACGGAAAATGGGGTGGAAATCCCAGGTTATTTCTGGACATCAGCCAGATGCTTCTAAAGACCGCTTGCAGTATCTGGGAAACGCATTTAGGATGTAGAGAACCTTAAATAGTGAACCTATCTGCAAACAGGCCGTGGTTTAGGATATCTCTGACTTCAGTGATCTAGGCCCCAAGAACAGTGGTGTGACAAGGTGTAAGTGCCAAAACCTGACAAGGCTGGCCCTGCAGCCTGGGGGTGAGGAAACCTGGTGTGTTCCCCACCTGCTGGCTCTGCCCCGGAGGTGGTAAGAAACACAGTGCAAACAGCGTCTGCACACTGCACCTGTTTGAATTGGATTGTGACGACCATGTGGGATCGACTGCTGCTGGCATTCATGGTGGTTGTAGCTGTTGTTCTCATCTTATTCCCTTGATCCATTAACCTCTCAATCTGTGCGTAATTATCACAAGGCACCAACTTCAAACCGTCCACATAAAAACCTTGGTGCCGATCTTCTCTAATCTTGAGCCCACTGGGCTTCCTGGTCTTAGACAATAAGTCTATTACCTGTGGTGAGAGATTTGTAGTTAGAATATGTTACTAAAATAAAATAAAAAAAAAATACTATTCTTAATAAGGACAGAATAATAAAAAAGACAAACTACAGCTCATCATGTGGCAGCTATTCTGACTTTACTGTGTTTAGAAACTTATTCCCAGAGAGTTCCACTTTCCACTTAAATTTAATCTACGTTGAAAGTTCATATCTGTAGACTTAAAGATGCTGGCAAAATTATGACATTATTAGTTTTAAAAGGCTTATTATGCTGCTAAAGCTAATAATGTTTGTTTTCCTGTGCATTCGTTTTTCCACTCTCCTTCCTGTACACTACATCAAATTTGACTGAAATTGGCCACGTGGCTCAAAACTAATGAAGGGAAAAGGAAGGGAAGGGAAATAATTCATTGAGACTTATACCATCTTCAGAAGTCCCTCCCAGCTTAAGAGAAACAGCTTAGCCATTTGCAATTAGTAATGCCTCCTATGTCTGCCAGGACGTGGAGATAACATCAACAGCAAAAGGAAAACAAAGTAAAAATCTTATCTTAATCGCTCTTTTCCCCAAAAAGCCACTTAAAGCAGAAAAGCACTACAGAGGATGAAACAATTTGGCCACTGGCGTGCAGAGCAGCTGGCTGTGATGCTGGAAGGTGGCTGCGGTGGCCAGCTGAGGCTCCTGCCCAAACCACTGCTGGGGCTTGGGGCACAGGTCCCACTTTGACCTGTCACTGCAAAGGGAGACATGGGCTCTCAGTATGACAGCTTTTCTCAAAGACAGCACTGTTTCAAGAGCCTAGTTTTGATCTGACTCTCCCTGTCCCACTGTGGTAGCAGCATAACAAAGCAGTTTATGAACCTGAGCAGACTTTTGCTACCAGACTTTCATTTAGTTCAAGCAGCAAAAATATTCTTCTTGGTCCAGATATTGACTACACTTGTCAGCCAACACACCCAGGAGGGTCATGTTGGGAGAACAAAAAGGCTTATTTTCAAATTACAGCATTCAGAAAATCAAGAAACGTATGTAGAAAACTAAGGTTTGTTAATACCGAAATAAAACGAGATCATTACCTGTTCGTTATAGATTTCCAGCATACTGAAAGTAATCTGTAAAAACAAGAAGTAATGAGAAGAAAAAATGCATTTGAAAAAAAAAAAATCCTTGCAATGGAGTCATCCCATTGTAAAAATAGCACGGGTTCCACAGACCAAATCTTCAGTTCATCACAACCCATTACGTAAGTTCAATTGAAGCAATTATTTATCAGATCCATACTGCCTTATCACAACTGTTTCCTCTCCAGCATTTCCTTAACTTACCCTTGTATGCATAGACTTTATTGCTGTCTATAGAGATTACATCTTAAGGTATGTTTCAATAAAACATTATTTATATGTTATTAAGCAACTAGACAGCATTGCAGAAAAGTCAAGAAGAGCAAATGTTAATTTTTAACAGCACTACTAGCTAGCAGGATGATTCAACCAGTATTTCTTTTCAAGACTATTTTAACAAAGAAAAAGCCTATTTTTCTATTGCTGTTTTCTGAGTGAACATCAGTGACCATACACAAATTACCTGTGTAAGGGCACTCATAGCACGAGAGCACCTGCTACATTATGGTGGTCAGGTCACGGACCTTTTCCATTTACAGGCAGCAGCAAGCACCAGGGAAGCAGTAAGCAGAGCAGGCAGAGGCACAAGGCTGCCAAGCCCCAAGAAGCAGTAACAGAGGCAACAGCAAAGACCCAAACTCTTTGGAGACTGACTGAGGGGGCATTAAGAAACTGCAAGCACAGCCCTGAGGAGGGCCAGCCTGGATTTTGCAGTTGGTAAGAAAAGGGAAGAAGGTGCATGAATTTTGCATTCTTGAAGGAGAGGTCAAGTGGGGGGAAACAAGGGGAAGACTGGATGAGGGAGGAACAGTCGGAGGGAAGGATGAAAGGGACTGGTTGTGTACAAAATGCTGCCTGTCAGCATGTCTGTCTGCCCGAATCCTGTGTCTGATCACTGCAGCATGTCCTATCTTATTGAACCCTTCCTTAATGACCTAGCTGTGTAAATTCCCTCACTGCCCCATGCACTGAGTGCTGCAAGGTCTAAGATCCTGTGACTGGAGTCAGACCTCAGGTGGCAGCAACCCCTGTACCTGAGGCACCAGCAACCACAGCAAGTGATGGCTCCAGCATGGGGACCTGGTGGGACCATGGCTCAGTGGGCCTTGTTGCCCTTGGGGCTGGCAACTGAGCAAGCTGAGCATCAGCAAACAAAATTGGGCACAGGTGACAGACGTGCCCACGTGCCTATGGAGGCAACAGGGGGAGCGGTGAGGGCCTACGTGCCTGCAGATGGACCGGGGGGCATGGCCCCAGGGCCTATGTGCAGGTGGCAGCAACCAGAGGAGACAGGGTGCTTGTGTGCCATAACCATATGTGTGTGGGCATGCACGTGGCATTTGTTAGCCAGCTCCATGGTGGGGTAACCAGGGAGGAGGAGGAAACTCTCCAGAAAGACTCAGAGTGCAGGAGCTCCATCTCCAGGCACAACCTGCTAGCTGGACTTGGGACTGTGCTGATTTTGGGGGAGCTACAAATGTATGAGTGTGTGTGATGAACACTCAGCCTTCTTAGAGGCTGAACCTGCAAATGGGAAAGGTCCTCGGGACAGAGACCAATGGGTCTGGGGGATGCTGGGCTGGGCTCCAGAAGCCCAGACTCCTGGGAGCTGCCAGGAGGAGCCGCATTGCTGTCATTAATAGCAGTAACAACTCCAAATAGGATTGGTCTAGGTTGATCACCAGGTTGATCTAATGAACCGGGAAGGAAGGCGTTTTCACTTTTTTTTTTTTATTTCTTATCACAGAGGTACACAATGGATGATGACATCACAGAACATTCACAAAACGCAGCCCTATGGGATGGAGTTGTGGAGACTGGCTATGGAATAGAAAGTGTTCTTTTCTTAAGGGAAGTAACACAGGACTGAGTCACAGGTAGCCCTTGGTCATCAGGCTGGCACTTTTGTAGACAGAAGGCACCGCTGAATGCAAGGGAAGCGTAATGCCTACAGTAGTGCTGGAATGTGCCAAGTGTTGCTGCCTGAAAGTTACTTGGACTACAAGTGGAAAAGGATGCAGATGGAGTGGGAGCACCCAGCAGCTACAGATGCTGTAGTACAAGGCTAAAAACATCTTTCCTATTCTAAAGAAGAGATACAACATTATAAAACTCTTTAACAGGTATACAGAAGAAAACACTGATTTTCTTTACTAGAGGTGTTGGAAAAATTTTCTCACAAGCACCCTGTAAGAGAGCGAGGTTAGGAAGCATAACTAAAATTAAAATCAGCTTACTTTCAGTTACACCTGTGACAGAAATCCTCATTTTTTAGGGATCATCTGTAATTCTAGCTCTATTCCATCAACTTTTTATTCAACACTTATAAGACCTACTATGGTTTGTATAGTCATTTGCTCCATATATTCATAGTTTCTAATTTTTCTAATTCAAATTAAAGAAAGTCTTCACAGTACAATCTGGAAAGATCTTGGAAATAAATGACAGTTTGTTGCTAATCCCACCTGGTACTGCTTGTTCTTTTCCTGACTCTGGATTGCTTTGAAGAGCTCTTCGCACACACTGGGAACCAGTCCTCTGTTTGCACCATACCCGATCATGGAATAGCTCTTCCCCGAGCCGGTCTGACCGTAGGCTAGGAGAGTAGCGTTATAACCTTGCCATGCACTTTCCAGCACTCCTTGACCAAGATCACGAAATACCTCTCTCTAAAAAAATGATCAAATAAATCATCTTGAAAGATGAACAGGCAAATACATACAGAAGCACTACTGCCACGTCAGAGTGCCCTCACTAGCAGTTTAAATGAAGAATCGGGATTTGCAAACTTACTAGCAGTTTAAATGAAGAATCGGGATTTGCAAACTTACTTAGAAAGACTAAGTTCTAAGAAACAGAACTAAGAAACAGAACTTGGTTTCTTAGAACTTCTAAGACTAACATAGACAAAATGTAGATGATGCTTCAAACCAGCAAACAAGATGCCATCAGTCAGTTCATCCCATTGACATGAGTGTTAATAACAAAGACAAATGAACTGACTAGACTACAACTGTGTATTAGTTACAATTGCTGCTACTTACCTGGCCAGCATAACTGTTGGATCCCGCTGAGATGAACGTGCCATTCTCATCCTTTAGAAAGCCACTGTGAGACCAGTATGCCAGATCGAAAGTAAAGGTTTTCATGTGCCCTGGATTCCTAGGATCATATATGCTCGTGCTGTTGGAGTTCATAGAAATCACACACCTACTTCCTGCATCCTTCTCTCTCTGTATTGAAATTATAATTGTAGTATCAAAATACAAGCAGTCATTCACTAAAAAAAATCATGGTTTAGTCTGGATTTAAAATAAGTTCAATAGCAATGTACAACGTACTGGTAGTTCTGGTGGAGTAAGTCTGCTCTTGAGCCACGTGACATGACAGGAAGCCAAGTGAGACCTGACGGTGCTGACAGATGAGTAACGCTTTGCGTTATTTCACAGTATTGTTAGATTGACCTCGGCAATATTTGTAATGTACTAGTCTAACTCCTCATGAAAAAGTATGGGTTTGCTTCTGCCTGCAGCTTTTCTCCTCACCAGAAGATGGAACCAAGACTGTAAATCATCAACGTAAGCTATTTATGATAAGTTACATGTGAACTGATGAAATTACAGCAAACAAATGTATTGTGCCAACCAACCCTGAGAGTGGTCTTCCATGAGAGAAATTTCTGATGAGAGCTTAAGCTATATAGTTATTTGTGACCTTATTTGCACACTGGGCATGTAGGAATATTAATTCAAATAAACTAAGTCAATGTGAATCAGTTAATGCTTAAACTGCTAAGTGGCTATCAAAAGTGATTTGCTGTATTTCTCCTTTGTATTATAACCCAGAATAAATACTTCCATCACCTTTGGCTTCTAAATACTTAAAAAGTCTTACATTTTTGTCAGTTATCTGGGAACTCAAGGAAACATCTGTACTGAAACATCCTGTCAAATGCCCCTTTGAGACAATAGCTTTTAGGCTTATTAGTATTCATTTTCCCTTCATGAATATCTCCTACTATGTTTCCTGGAAATAAAATCTGCCATTGCATATGTTATTCTATTTTCTGCAAGGTGAGAGCCTACTATGCTAAGGCAGTCAATGTTCCACGAATTTTCCTTAAGGTTAAGGCCCCAAAAGGTACAGACACGGGATTTGGCTTCAGCTTTTAGCAGTCTGTACGAGAAATCCCAGCAATTCCTTAAGGGGAGAAAGACAAAGAGAACAACCCTCAAGCAATTCGATTTCCCATGGAAGGACTTCATAATTGCTCTATTTAGTGATACACTGCACGGAAGAGTCCCTAAGAAATGTTGATCTTGCTCACAAAGTTTTCCTGTGCTGTTTCTCAAAGAGAACTACCACTACGGTCTTCTGTGTGCACCCACCATGCTGCTGCATCACAGCTCTTTCCTTCACAGGCCCCTCATGTCCTTCTCTGGAACCATAGCTGTTACACCTTCCTCTCAGACACGTACTTGCAGAGGCCTACAGTTGTCCAAGAGGACCCCTAGCCTGCTCAGCCACTTGCTCCCAAGACATTTTAACAAATTTAAAAATAGCAGCCTCCTTCCCAATTCAGACTCCTCGTTGAAAAGCATTGCCCATGGACTGGATCTTCCTCTCCCTTACAGAAATGTTTTTCACTTTTTTTTTTCCCACATACTGCTAGCAAGCCTGCACCAAATAAACCAAGTACAATCTATTTTCTCCACTTCATTATAAACTCATCCCTCCTCCCATTGACATCTTCTTTCTTCCCATTAGAGCCTGAGAAACTGAACAGAAGTAAGCCTAACAAAAACATTCCCAATGCCCATTTCTGCTTCCATTTCCTTCACCTTTCTGAAATCCCATTCCTTGTTAATGCATTATGGTTACTCTCCCATTCTTTTTACACTCCTTGGGGATACAGGTCAGCATTCAAGAAATGTGCACTGAATGTAAACAACTGAATAAAAATGGAGAAAAACATTTAGCATTTAATAGAATTAAAGCTCCTTTAAAATAAAGATTACTGGGCTATTACAAAAGTTGAAGAAGTTACTAAATCCCATGCAGATTTCCTTGTATTACTATTGCTTTTTTTGTTTGTTTTTCTGCCAAAACACTGCCAAATGAGGGCAATTCAGCTGAGGTTATAAAATGAGAGGCTAAAAATGACTACAATCAATAAAATTAGCTAATATGTTTTCTTCTATTTTCATACAAAAATATTTTGTAAGTATAAAGGACAGACTCATGTTAAAATCCTACTAAACAATCTTCACTACCATGACAGCTAATTGTTTGATCAAGAATCCAAACACATTACACTTCTGTGCACAACACACACAAAACATATATTCAGGTTTGAAGTCGTGTTCCCTCTCCTCCCCAGTTACTGAAGTTTGATCTTTTACCCCATTTTCTTAGCTACTCAATGCATGTCTGTACAATGTGCATTAAAAAATATTGCTAGAACCCTCCTGCTCCCCACCCCCTTTTTTCCTCTTTACGGTTATATATATTGGAACTCAAGTTAAAAAGTATTGAGTAAATAACTACTAACCTGACTGAAAGGTCTCACTCGAACTGCCACTTTCACGCTGTCAACATTTGGCATTTTTATAAACTTTCATTCAGTCATGAATACTCCCAAGAGGAAGAAAATTAAAGTGCATGCAGCTACTTTTCTAGAACATCCTGCTCTGAGATAGAAAAATCATGGCCCCAAAAGACACTTTTTACAAGCTTAGTCTATTATTAATACATTCATTCATTATGTACAAGGTGTTAGTTAACCAATAAATTATTTCTTAAAGTAATTGTAGCAGTTTTTACTAATCAAAAAGTTTAATGTCAGGTTCCACCATTTGGTAGTCTTCAAAGTTGCATCCATATATAAATTAACATACATAAAAATAATCCATTGTCTAAAAGACCGCACATCAAAATAGTACTTCCATGTTTGCTTTTAAAAGAATAGTCTTTTTCATCTATTCTTACAAATTGAAATTTTATAGGGACATTTACTCCATAGGCCAAGATTATTAATGAGATCATTATTCAAAAATATGGTTTGTAACTAAGATTTCTGTACATTTTGGTACCTTCAGACTTTTAAGTTAGCTTTACCATCAAGCTTTCATTTCAGTGCTGTGATATGTAGACTTCAAATATTGCAAAATGTTTACAGGCAGTAATTATTTCAATTATAGTTGTATTCGTATCAATCTTATGAAAATACTTTGAAATTTGAGCCAAAATTATGTGGGCAATATCCCTCTAAATTTGATATGCTATTGTAAGCATCAAACTCTATAGTTTTTTGCTGATAACAAATTGTAAAAAATACTGAAACATCTGAGATGTGATCTAGTTTTATAAACTGAAGAGCAGCTTTTCCCAAATTTAAGACAAATACAAAAAAAATATTGCACAGCTTAAAATACAATTGTTTACATTCTGACTTCAATACAGTACAACTTAACCGTGAATGTAAGTAATTACCAGTTTGTATTCATGAGCCCAATTATTTGTGCCAGAAAGTCAAACATCATCTATAAAACTTAAACTAGTACATTTTAAGTGTTTGTTATAGTAGTTCTAAGCAAACTTTTAAAAACTTTTGGCCTCATTTTTCAATATTAACAACTCTTGCAAACCAACATTAAAATTTGAGAGATACAGGCCATTCAACCCACTATTCCCTTAAAAAGCTATCAGACAGTAAGCATATTGTGAAGTATACATTTTTATTTAACATTCCTAAAATAAGCTGTATTTACATATTATATAAATGTATGAAGTCTTAATATAAAATAGAAAACTGCATTGACTGAGGAAATCACACTCCATATGGAGTTACTTATTGAAGACCATTTGTTTATGAAATTTTACAATAATTTATATAAATTATCTCTTCCAAATTAGATGATTATTTTTTATTTTTACTAATCCACACAATTTTGATGACTTTACAAACAGTGGTGTACATTACAAACTTAAAAAACAGTTACAGCATCTTCCGGCGCACAACTGGCTTTGGAAAATTAGACAGTCTTTTTTTGTTCTTACGTAGATTCTTCTCTGTCGCATCTGTGGTTTCTTTCTGTTTGCTTTTCTTTCCATCCACTGGACTTGTAAAAGGAGAAATGAACTGTATTTCTACTGGTGGAGGTGACCAAGAACCTTCCTTTCTTGTGGTTCTGTGAAACCAGCAAGTGTCAAATTGATTATCAACAATAGTTAGTAGAGGGGAAAAAAAGTGGAATTATAAAATCAATGCCAACAAATTAATTTATGGGCTTCTTTTTACACAGCAATGAGGCAGAGAAGGTACATAAATAAACTTTTTGCTTTCATTTCTTTTCATTTCTTTAATTTCTGCACTCCCAGTCATTATTCAGATGAGATTTTAAGGCCCCTGCAAGCTCTAAGAGGCAAATGTCCTCAAATTAACCATGGGCTTATGTTGCACCAGGGGAGTTTTAGGTTGGATGTTAGGAAGAACTTCTTTACTGAAAGGGTTGTTAGACACTGGAACAGGCTGCCCAGGGAGGTGGTGGAGTCACCATCCCTGGAAGTCTTTAAAAGACGTTTAGATGTAGAGCTTAGGGATATGGTTTAGTGGGGACTGTTAGTGTTAGGTCAGAGGTTGGACTCGATGATCTTGAGGTCTCTTCCAACCTAGAAATTCTGTGATTCTGTGATTTTCCAGAAAGAACCAGAAAACAGGTCCAGAAACAAGACCTTCTCTTTATTCATTGTCTGACCCTCTCCTGCCTTGTATAAGGAACTAAAGACCTTAAGGCTGTGGTTTCTTTAGATGGAATAAGATGAATTAAGAGCACATCACCATCGAGTAAACACAGGAGTAACCTTTCACCGTTTTCTATCCCCTTCTTCTGCTAGCAATAGAAAACACAATCACTAAATGGGGAAAAATGTGTCTATCAGACCAGCGAGCTGGACTGCTCTGGACTGCTACATAGCCAAGTGGGATGTTTCAAGTTAGGTAGCTATTAACAGAATGACTACCACAAGAAATAGACCTAAGTATTTTAAAAGAGTTTCATACTTGCTTGTTTTGTTCGCTTTTGATTTTGCAGTTCTACCCCTCTTCGATTTTTGTTTTCCCACAGACTCTATGGATTTGGTATCCTCCTCTTCTTTAGATGGAAGCTCCTATGGTATGGCAAAAAAATGTTACTCACGTGCACGCATTCTTACACTTCTACAGAATACAAATGAATGTTTCTTTCAATAAGAAATCATAATAAAACTATGATTTCCATAAGCACCTCTAAAAAAAAAAAAAAACCAAAAAACTTCCATCTCAAATTACTGTATCATCCTAAAAGTTCAAATTTGGAAATTAACAAATAACACACCACCTAAGTTTAAAGATAAAGAAAGACACTTGGTCTTTTGTTAAAGGCAGGGCAACACTTACTGGTTCTCAACTTACATAGATTCAAAATTGACTTTTGTAGCTAATTTTCTTAAAGCAACAAACTTCTTTTGCTAGCTGACTGATTTAAAACTCTTTTTAGATATACTTCCAAGGAAAAAGACAAGGCATTGAGAAGTATGATTTCAAAAAGAGATACAGAGTAGAAGTCAAAAATATGAGACAAGTACAGTTTTTACTTACCGGTTCTTTCACAATTCGGGAAATACTAGAGACATTTTTTCTCCTTGACCTCAAAAGAGGGGGTGAAAAGACAAATTGAGAAGACAAGTCCGGGTCTAAATCCTTAAGCTGCACAGGATGGTCTGCTTTTCCAGCTAAAATGATAATGAATTGTTAACATGCATGTATGTTATAAAGTACAGTGATGTTAAATTAGAGCTGATAATAAAGAGTACAATAGCTTCCTAAAATAAAGGGTCCAATCAAGTTTATAAACACTCAGTGTGGAGGTACTTCTTCATAACTGCCTCTTAGAATCCATCATTTTATAGTGAATTGTGAAACAATGAACTAGAGCAGTGATTTTATTTGTACCTACATAGTCAAAGATGTTTTGCTCAATCAGCATCAAGTGTCCTCACCGATTTCCAAAAAAAATTAATCATGTTGGCTAACATAAAGAACTCTGTATGCAATAACTTCACTAGCAAAGCATATGCCAAAAAGAAACAATCACATACTTAATCAGCTGTCTAGCATGTTGCAAGATGCAGCTCATTTTACATTAAAAACTGAACAAAATTTGGATGCCTCCTTTATTTCTGCAATGTGGGGGAACGGATGACAATTGACTGAAAAGATGTCCCCCTAGACTTCTAAGTTGATAGGAATTAAGGTCATGACAAAAATAATCAGGTAAAATTTTATTTCAGTCTATTTGAATTGTTTCAGCCTCATCACTTGCTTCCCCCACAACTGGCCAGCCAAGCATGTGGAGTTCAGGCAAAAAGATGAATTTCCAAATTTTTACTTTTGTAAAGTTAGATTATTTACAATACTAAAAGCCATACTTTGGGTCATAAAACAGTCTGTTTTATGTCATTTACAAGACAGCAACATACCCTGTTTTGTATATGAACATGCTGCACCTACCTTTAACTTTCTTTGACAGCTTTGTGAGAGGAGGAGAAAAAAGGAAGGATTCATTTTCCTCAACAGACAGTTTCTGATGCACACTAGTTTTACGGGATCTTGTAATACGATCTGTTAGAGTTCTTGATGCTTCATCATATCCTGATGTGTTTACATCCGTGAGCAGCAAAGGACTGCCATCGGGTCCTTGGGGGAAGGCTTCTTCCCCTGTGCTCTCCTCCAATATCGATGGCAATTGCCTCTTTCTGCCCCGACCCCCTGTCCTTACTGCAGTCCTGGGTGTGGTTGATTGTTCATTTGGCTGCTCAGGTGTTCTCTCAAGAGCATCTGTTTTTTCTGGTTTAGCATGTGCAACCCTTCTTGCTCTTCTCCTAGGAGTATCAACGACTTCCACTTTCTCACCTGAAGGTATGTCTTCCTGAGTAGAGGCAGATTCAATGTCTGCTGAGAGATTCCGTACCAGCTTCCTAACACTTCTTCTAGGAGTCACAGGAAGTTTGAGTTCTGTTTGAGGAACTGATGATTTTGACAGATCAAGGTCAGAATTTTCTGAAAGATCCGATGAACTCGTTTTTCTTCTTCTGCCTCTTTTCGTTGGCACAGGTAAAAGAAGTTGATCACTAGGCTGCACCTCTTGCTCCACAACAGTATTTTCAATAGGTTGTGAATTACTGCTTTTTAATTTTCTTATACTTCTACTGGGACTGACTGCTGGTTTTATCCTAAGATCAGTGCCAGTCTGGCCAGTTTCTTGATCTCCTGCTGAACGTTTTCCTCCTCTAGTCCTTCTAGAAGTAGCAGAAGTAATAATGCTACCTTCAGCAAGAGAAGTTTCCTCTTTAGCCTCTTCCAAGAGTTCAGATGCAGCTTCCTTTACTCTCCTTAATCCTCTTCTTGGAGTAGTGGCTATGGACTGTGTACTGCTGGACAATGTCTGTCCATCAGATTGGCTGCTCGCTACTTTTTCTAAATTAGTCTGTTTGGGCTTCCTACCTCTCCTCGGGGTAACAGGGGTTACAGGTATTTGCTCATCTTGAGTATTTTCTACTCTTAGAAGA